TTTAGTAAAAGTAGCTAAATACAGCGAATTAGATAGAGGAAAAAGTGGGTGAAAATTAAAGATAAAGGTGATGAGAGCAGTAAAAAACAGAACATTGGTAACATTATTGCAAGGGAAAACTATTGATGTAGGAAAAAGTATGAAAAGTGCGGTAGCTAAATCACAGACAAACAGACGTAACTATTTGAAAAAGTTTTTCTTGAAAACATAGTATCTCAAAACATTAGACCTCAGTAACGACATCTCTCGGACTTCTCGCGGAAAACAAGCTTGCTCGCTAGCTCGCAAACAATATTGCATAAAAGTTCTATAGAATGTATAGAAACGTCAACGTGATCCGATGCCAGCGCTGCGGCGAGTAGTTCGCGGAACTGATAATATTCAAATCAACCGTTAAATGCATGAACTAAGATACACAATGAAGTGTTACGTCTGTTTGTCTGTGGCTAAATCATAATATATATTTTAGTTTTGAGCTGTTGTCTACAAATCGACTGCTGCAAAAAATAGTACTTTATTGATCCGAACAGTGAAGGTTTCGGGAATTCCAAATTCCGTGTTTTGAAATTATTCTTACAAATATACAGTGACCGGCAGAAAAAAAGATAGGCCAACATTAGAGCCGTTACCCCTATGTTATTTTCATTGGTATGACATAAAAATAGATCCACTCTCTGTTTGACAAAAATATTCAAATAAAACCAGCCCAAAACTAATCACTGATAGTCAATTTGACCTTCCTTCGATTCAGTGATCAACTGCCACCGCTTTGACATGCTTTCCACAAAGTTTTTTGAGCTGCTGAAGATTAAAACTGTCCAAGGCCTTATGCAGTGCTGCAAAATATGTTTGTTTGCTGGTAACACCGGTTTTCTCCACACAACTATCGAGGATAGCCCAAAGAGTTTCGATAGGGTTCAAATTTTCACAATGAATATCGATATACCCATCTGCGGTCATTAGACCAAGGATTTGGGTCAGATTCCCTACAGCAAACCATGAGCAACAGCCTCAAACCATAACATTTCCTCCGCCGTGTTTCATGGGTGGATGAAGATGTCTCTCCTGTACAGCACCTCGTCGCTTTTCCGCCATACTCTTCGACGTTGTTGCTTGAACTTTGATTCATCCGACCAAACAACAATTTTCCAGAACTCCAGCGGCTTGTTAATGTGTTTCCTTGCGAACATTAGCTTCGTAGGTTGGTAGCTTTCGAGTAAAATTGCTCTTCAAACCATGTTCAGCAATACGTCGACAAATGGTTTGATCAGAAATCGACAGATTCAGCCTTTTGACGTAGGACTACGTCTTTGATTTCTATATGGGGGTACACTTTGTGAAAACCGAAAATGGAACACGTAACAAATTAAGAAAGATTTTGAACGTTAATAACTCAGCTGCCCCTGGTCCAATTTCAATGATTTTATCACCAATCGATCAGAAATATGGCTACGCATCGATAACAATGCTTCCGAATGTTGATTTCCAAACAAGAAACTATTGAAAAACTGGTAAATGTCCAGCATTGTCCAAAAGCGTCGAATTGACTAACAAATCCACCAATTACCTACATGCATATGCTGCTTCCCCAGCACAGTCATCAGAGAGTAGTAAGTAGACAAAACAAGTCGAAGTAGCATTCGCCTCCGATCCTCGGGCGCGTGCGAATAGGGAGGATGGAATTGCGTAATATTTTGCACACTCATCGCCATATTTAGAACCAAACGCAAATTCTTCGAGATAACCACCATCCGTCGTCTGGCTCGCCGTGGTGGTGTCTGACGTATCTCCGGTCTGATTTATGAGGTGTGCTGAAGGTGTTTCTGAAAAATGAGATCCGTGATGCTGTCACCTACACTAAACACGCCAAGCGTAAGTGGCCATGGATGTCATCTACGTTTTGAAGTGACAGAGACGCACTCTGTTTGGTTTCGGAGGTTAAATCATCACCAACTTTGGCAACAAAACGGCTCTTTTAAGGGCCACCAAGCTTATTACAGTAAAGAGTAGGAATAGAATTCATCTGCCTGTTTGTCCATATTCAGAACCAACGACCACACAAAATGCTCATGTAATCAAACTGGAAGCAGGGGTACAAATTATTTTGATCAACCTTGATCAACTTTGAATCGCCACGGCCGGATATTTTCGATGGAAGAAGCAACAATCTAGCATCTAATTCGACGAAGACGACAGGAAACATTTGTGAAGCCGAGTTATTTACGAAAGAGAGTGTCGATGAAGAGAATCGATCAATGTAGATAGGACCTATTGAAAAGTGACGCCAGATTTGTTTTCCGTGCTGAGCACCAATGCTACCGACGTGCCAGGAAGGCAGCTCCCACACCTGGACCCTACCTATCGACCCATCAACTCATGAACCGGGGACCAACGGCTTTACTTCCCATCCGAAGGAAGGCGTGATCAGAGATGTTATGCCTTAGAACATGCCGGTGGCGCCGACTGAGATTGGACCCAGGCCTGCTGGGGTGAGAGGTAATCACGCTAACCACCGGCACCGATATCTTTCAAGGTGATATCACGGCGAATGAGAATGACCCAAATTTGAGTTTAGTTATCTCAGAAATAAGAAATAAAGTGCAGGAACTCAGCGATGAGTAAATTTGCCTCATGTTTTCGCAGGTTTTTCCAGAATTTTCCAGGTAAAAATTCCCGAATTTGAGAAAAGTAAAGCTTGGATTCACTCAGTCCATTGGTACTACTCCGAGACTGAATAAAATTTTCGTCAATTTCCTCATTTTATGGCAGACTTTTAGGTTTTCCACAGGAAATCATGAGACAAATTTACTCATCGCCGAGTTCCTGCACTTTTGGCGATTATGAGTGAACTAAACTCAAATTTTGGGTCATTTTCATTCGCCGTGTACGAAAAAGGAAAACAGCCAGTGTCGCTACTTGATAGCAAACTTCTCATAATGGGAGGAGTCTTTGTAGCTTTTATACCACTTGGTTGCACATCATTCTGCTTTAACCTGAAAAGATATAAAAGAGCGCTGCTGTATGGCATTAGCTCATTTTCGCTTCAGACGGCGTGGTGAACAGCAATAGCAGCAGTAGGAAGGTGGTGGCTAGTCCACTCCTTCACACCTAATAAGCATCTATTGACTGGTCGTGGCAAAGGAGGAAAAGGTCTGGTAAAGGAGGCGCCAAGCCTCATCGCAAAGTTCTTTGAGATAACCGCCACCGGTCGTCTGGTTCGCCGTGGTGGTGTCAAACGTATCTCCGGTCTGATCTACGAGGTGTGCTGAAGGTGTTCCTGGAAAATGAGGTCCGTGATGCTGCCACCTACACTAAACACGCCAAGCGTAAGTGGACATGGATGTCCTCTTCAATAAACGGCCCTTTTCTCATGGCCATCAAGCTTACATCAGTAAAGAGTTGGAATAGAATTTATCTGTGCTTGTTTGTCCATATTCAGAACCACAAGCCCCCAACGACCACACAAAATGCTCTCTAGAGAATTGTAATCTTGTAACCAAACTTGGAAGCAGGGTGCAAGTGATTTTGATTGATTCTCTTAATCAACGTTCTCTTTGAAAAAAAAAAACTACTACAAATTTGGTACGCCTACAATTCAAAAACGGAAAGAGTTGAGACAATAGATAATTGATCAATTAAAACAACTAAATGCTCTTCACATTTATTCTGTCCACTATTGGTCCTACGTCAAGCTTCCGTTCGTGCCCCTAGGCACAGACCCTTCTACTTTTTTCACTGCGCGGATAGTGATGCGTGAATCTTGTTTAATCTCATGGATTATTCTGGTGTCTGTTCGTGAATAACTTTTCCGTTTTTGTCCACTTCCAGATTGATCAGCAACACTCCCAATCAATTAATACTTCAAATAGATCTTCTGAACTGTACCACGATTTCCACTTCAGAGTTCTACGCAGCAGACTTTTGTGATGCATATAAACAATGAAATGCCAAACCATGAAATACGAGGGGTGTGCCAATTTAACTCAGACGACTTAATATTTCTTTCGCTGGTGGATCTTCTTTTATGTCATTTCGGGATCCTTATAAATTTAATTTACAGTTGACTGAAACTGATGTTTTTTTCAGTAAAGTGGTATGAAATTTAACATGGAGAGCAGCATGCTGGAGCAAATTTAAAACATGTTTTGAAATAGTTTTTATATGATAAATAGACATTAATAAGCGTTTGAGTTATATTTGAGCGGATGGATCTTTTTTTGTGATCTCAAAACTCCAAGCATTTGGAATCGAAATAATTCCATACACAGGATCCCTAGCTCAAGGTTTACAACTTTCTCTTCTGCTGCTTTGATGAATTTTCAGTTCATTCGTAGCTGGAACGGTGTTTTAGGAACAGTGTTCAAAACTAATTTTTGGCCAATATTTGATTGCGGCAAATGTTCGATACAGCAAATGTGGCAAAAGTTCGCAAACGGAGAACGTTCCCGGTAGTAATAGTAGTCGCTCCTGTTGAATTTGAGCTCAAACCGATCCACTCCTGTACCGATCCTTTACATCCGGTGCTTAGCTGTCAGCATACCGAGACAAATTTTGAAATCACAAACGACAAAAGAATCAAATCAAATTGAAATCGAACATGTATTTTTTGCTAGTCATATTTTGAGGTTATCTTAGCTAGGTTATACAAATATTTTGAATTGGTCAGCGTCTATTTTTCGATTAATGACAGTATAAACTATACGGAGAACTTATAAGTTTTCAATTCAAATATTACAACAATCTTTTAGCTACCGCATGGTTCCAGAAATTCACCACCCGACGAAATGCGCCTCAAGTGATCGCCTCTCGCATACAACATAGCATACAATCCACCACCCACAGGGACAGCACTGAAAGTGGAACAGCGCATGACGCAAAATGTCATCCTTATGCTGTTTTTGTCTTTCTCTGCTATGTTCCTGCCATTCATAATCTCAACCCCTTCTGTGCAATAGCATACATAGTAGCGTTCTCGCTTGTATTTACATACAACGCACTAACAAACGTTCTCAAAATTGGTGTATTTATTATTTTATTCCATCAACCGACAATGTGTGGTACTGTTGCTGTGGCTTGCAGTTTTAATTAGTATTACAGAGATCGTGTACAATTTCTTCTTTCGTTCGACACTGGCTGGCGGCAGCGTCTGGCGATTTCAATCGAGTGAGTACATTCTGGAAGAACGGATCGTCGTAGTCTTCGTGCTGGAAGGATTCAATCTCTTTCTCGCTATAGGCGTCGGTAGGAGCGGCCATTTCACACGGTTGCGATAGTGTTTTCAAAGGAATTTGACACGGTCCTGTGAATAAATGTCCTAGCATTGTAAGCAAATCAAGTCGAAATGTGTTCCAGAATAGTTTTAGTGCAGTTTGTGGCATTGTTCATCATCGGACTATGTCACCGGTGCGTGGGAGAAGGTAAGTTGAAAATGATCAGTATTACAGTGGGATCTTGATTTCAGCAACATGGCGATTTTAATTCTTCTTAATTCATACAAAAAGTCAAAATTGTAAAGTTCATCACGTACATTCCATTTAGAATATAAAATGACGTGTCCAAAAATTAAGATCCCATGCTAAAGTAGTAATTAAATGATTTATAAACTATGTCAATCCATTGAGTTCCTATCAACGTTCTTCTGAACGTTTAAAAGCCTGTTCAAATTTTAACTTCGCGTAGCACAATCTAAAAACCAGATGCGACCCGATGATAAGCGATTTCATTAGCACGTTCAGCTATAAGCTGTTCGAGTCCCGAAGGAATGAAAAAAAAAATATGCCGAGTGTGGAAATGCTTCCGTTCTCCTCATAGCCGTTAATGTGAAAGCATGTAAAATAAACATTAACAACTCTGTGTCCTACTTCTACCATCACACCCGGCCATATGTACCACCACCTTCCTACGCACCATATATAACAATTCCGTCAAGCTGGAAATAAGACAAATCACGTACGCGGTGCTACTGCTGCCATATGTTGCCGTCGTCGTCGTCGTCGTCGGTCGGTCGGTACGGATTCTGTGATCTATAAACAAACGCTGCTCTCGGTTTCGGTACGATCGCTGCACTTGATGGTGTGTGCGGGTGATTGACTGACTATAAGAAATAGTGAGATCATTTCGGTGCAGTCTGCAGTAGGATTGGGTATACCACATGTGCTGGCATAGGGATGAGTATTCGTACATGCATGACTATAGAGTCGCGTCTATGCATAAACATTTAAACGTGTTGAGTTTATCCGCGTGTAGCTAAATGAATATAACAGATTTTTCACAAACTAAACGAGGGTAACTTATTTGCGTTTGGCTTTTATGAATATAACACATTTGCACTAATCTAATGCGGAAGTTTGGTAGACTTCCCACACCCAAAAAAAATTAATGAAATTAAAAACTCATCCTTTTAGCATTCGTAGTCAGTTTGATGATCTTTTTATGATATATCGTCAAACATGTAAAACTCAAATTTTAACGAAACTTTATGAATCATTGAAAATCTGTACGCAGATAACAATCCACGCCAGTCCTCAACTCAACTGCTCTTCCAGCAATCCTGCAATTGTTAATTGAGAGTATTCAATTCAAAGCCTGCTAGTAGTTTTGCATTCGTAAACAAATACGTGGCACGCAGAACGATACTCTATGTGCCCTGGCAAGTCGGGAAAATTTATAACCCGGAAATAAGGCTAGAGGTTCACGACGAAGAAAACGAAAAAGACCGTTAACTGATGTGATGGAACAATCAGCGCAATCGACGGCGACTCATGGCGTCCATTCAAACACTCAAGAACAGTGTCTGACAACATTGAAATGAATGACAATGTAACAACATTTAAACGAAGCTTTATTAAACTAGCTGCGGGGTAAGGGGTTCTCTTTATCATTATCGGCGACAATGTTTTCGATAGTATAATATAGAGGTTTCCAAGTGAACTAGAGGCATATCTACTGTGAGAGGGTGAATGAGTGAGAATGGGTGAGTGAGTGAGTTAGTGCAAGAATAGGTGTGCCAACGAGGGGTGACAAAATAAGATAATAAATGAATGGTTTAAACACAGACAAACAGACATAACACATTGTATATTTCTCACTGTGAAACATCGTCGTTAAAACATTACCGCCATCTGTTGAGTACACTGTGGTGGGTAGTACGCTGAACAGATGGCGGTAGTGTGTAAACGTCAAACTCAAGGGAAATGACTATGCGCGCCATAGGTGGCGGTACTACCAACTACGACACTTTTAAATTGACCGTTAAATGCTTGTTCGATGAACAACTTGCGAGTGTTATGTCTGTTTGTCTGTGGTTTAAAGTTTCTACTCACAGAATGAACGAATGAGTGAAAACGTAAGTAAATGAGTTTGTAGGCGAATGAAATCAATGAGAGAATAAAGTGTGAGTGAGTGAGTAAAAAAGTATGTAAACCAGTGTTGCGAAAAATCACGATAGATTCTGTCACGTCTATCAAGCTTTATTTAAGGTGTGCAGAAAGATTCTGCTTTGCTGTCGCGAGATTAAATAGACCGAAGATTGATGCAGATTTCATCGATGTCCTGCAAAACGAAGGAGCGTGATGTGCGTGGATTGATCCGCTGATGTGACATTTTTCAAGATTCTTATGATTGAGATGTGTCACAAATGACAACAACGCAATAAACAATGTGAGCTGAATAATAGCAGAATAGCCAGCTTTTAGCTGAAGAAGTTTATTTTTGAATGAGTAAGCCTGCTTGCAATGTTTGTTGGAAAGGTGCACAAAGTGCACGGGGATGTCCACTCAAGCTGGACATTGCATTAGTGCATTAGGTCCTTAGCTGGGCGGGAGACGCAGACGCGAAAAATATGAACGTCAAAAGGAGCCAGAATCAAGCTGTCACGAACTGTCATTGGGAGCCAAGCAGTTTGATGATGTTTTTCTTACAGTTGAACAAGAATACTCAAGGCGGTATTGAAATCTTGCGTGAAGTATTTTATGACAAACTGTCGTTTCCAGCTATCATATTCAATGGTACATCGTATTTTAAATTCATTCATTGAATATACACAAATCAATATTGATATCATTAACCAAGTTTTTAGTCAAAATGTTTAATGGCATAACATAATACAGAACAGAAAAGTACATTTTATCACTGCACACTGGACAATCTCAAAGACAATCTATTTTGCTACGCCTATTTTGATTTGATTTCAATGGCACAAATTTTCATGACAAGTAGATCAAGTTATAAAATAAATTCCGTGTGTGTTCCCTCTTATCGTTTTCAAGAGCTGACATCTACTAAATTGATCTGAAAAAGAAATGGCACCACTTTTTTTTTTTTTTACATAAAATTTAGTTTATTTTTGTTGATTTTGTTTAAAACTAATTGCATAGGAATTAATTACATTTCAACTTGCAGATAAAAATCTAGTTCGCCTACGTCTACTACATTATCACAATTCATGACAAAGGTGACATAATTAATACAAAGTTTTAATATTTCATTTTTTTGTCTTCTGCCTACACTTCCCAAAACTGGGTGCATGAGTTCATCGAAAGAGAGCCTCCTCTGGCTGCCTAGGTATGTCGTCAATATGCTCTGCAAATGCGTCCACGCCGCAGTCACTCGTGGACACTCACTCAGCTTGTGTTTCAGTGTTTCTGTGGCTGCATTGCAGTGTATGCACTGTTGACTATCCGCGCGCCGAATGGTGTGCCACAACTGTCGGTGCTCGAGTTTTTCGTTCACAAGTAGGTACCAGTTACTACGCTGGGTTGATGACAGCATCCTACTTCCGATGTTGAGCCACACGCGTCTCCAATTCACTGTAGGGTGGCGTATTTCTACTCTCGGTTGGTTCGTTTGGCCGAGGTAAAAACTATGAATTTGATCGGAGGAAGGGTTTTGTTGGATTTGAGGTGGCAAACGAGGGTAAGTTTGCAGGATTGTTTTGAGGCAAGGAAGATCTGCAGGGGGTGGGTGAGGATTTGTACGGGTGAGGAAGGAATTGTAAAAGGGAATGGAACCGATCTCCTGGAGATGGCGGTTTATCAGCAATGCTTTGGATTTCAGCGCCGGCAGCTGCAGCTTTAGTCCTCCTTGATCGCGTGGTCTAGCCAGTTGTTGGATTGGTACACGCGCTGGCTGTCTTCTCCACAAAAATGTCCCCATGGTGGCGGTTATTTTGGCCATGTGTACACAGTATAGCGGCAATACGGATGACAAGTACCAAATCTTGGCCGTGATGACGTGTTAAGGAGAATCACCTTTTGATGAAGGGTTAGCGTGCGCAGTGAATGTAGCCACACTTGATGCGCTATTTTCCCCACCAGCATGTCCCAGTTTAGGGTGATCATGAGCCGTATAGAATTGGCAAAGATCACACCCAGTATTTTGATCTTATTTTCGGTCCTCATCCAGTTTGCTTGAATCGGATTCCCATTGATGAAGCCGACATCAATGGACGTCGTCTTGTGAAGATTGAGTACCGCTCCAGACACTCTCCCGAAACGATCAAATAGTTCACGCATTGCTTCGATTTTGCTCGCCGATGTGGTGATGACACTAATATCATCCGCATATGCCACGAGCAAGTCGGTGTCGCACACTCGCTCGAGGGACTCAACTAGTGGGTGTAAATACAACACAAACAAATGCATCGAAATGGGATCCCCTTGCCTCACTGATCGCTGTATGGGGAACGATGTCGTCAGGTGCCCGTTTATCAACAGGCGGGAAGAGGATAGAGCTGAAATCCGCGAGAGCAAGTCCACGAGCCGGTTGTTAATGCCGAGGGAGCGCATATTCTCGAAGAGGAATGAGTGCCTCACCCGATCGAACGCGTGGTCCAGATCGAAAGAGATTAATTTTCCAACCTGTTTACGAGCCGTCAGTTGAGCGATCCTGTCCTTCAAAGCCAGCGTGGCCTGAAAGATGTTGTTGTGTGCGTTCGAACACTTTTGAGCGTTGCTCAGTATTCGGTGTGTTGTCATAACATTTTCTAGGCGCGCCTTCAGTATACGGGAGAGCAGCTTGTAGTCGAAGTTGAGAAGCGAGATGGGGCGGTAAGAGCCAACAGTGTTACCGGATCCCCTCTTCTTCACTAGAACGATGACACCGTCAACAAATTCCGATGGAAAATTTGACGATAGCGCCTCGTTTAGCAGCAGATTGAGCTCGCGATGAATGACGTTGAATGTTCGAAGGTAAAATTCTTTCGGAATTCCGTCTGGCCCTGGTGACTTTTTGGATGCGCTGGATTTAATCGCAGTCCATATGTCCGCCGTAGTAATTGTGTCCATACATGCCTCGTTCGAAACATCGTTTTCTGGAACAATCTGGTCGCACTGAAAATCCTCGGGCTGAGCTGCATCTCCGCCTGGCTCCGAATATAAGTCGGCGAAATATCGATGTACGTGATCTTGAATGGATTGTG